AGAGAGAGAGAGAGAGAGAGAGAGAGAGAGAGAGAGAGAGAGACAGAGAGAGAGAGAGAGAGAAGATCGAAAAACTAGCCTTCTCGGTTAAGGTCGAAAAATATCGGAGGTCCCGTGTGCAAGTTGCACATGTTAAAGTAAGATCCCTTCATCATCATCGCCTTTCTCACCCTGGATCAGGATATAGGCCACGAACAAACACTTTCCACCTTTCCCTATCCTGGGCTATTCACTCGATGTCACTCCATGTCTTCCTACTTTTCTGTACATCCATTTTCGTGACTCTTCTCCAGGTTCCACGCGGTCTTCCCTTGGTTGTCCTAAAATAGATAAAAGTAGGCTTCGGCCGCCACCCAGGCAAAATTCAAAATTAACTACTACATGTACCACCAAGCTAAAAAAGTCTAATGTGTCCCGCGCGCTAATATAAACTCATGCAGTTGCGAGCGCCATAAAATACTAACCAAAAACAACAACAAAAATAAAAAGCAAACCAACAGACCCATTCTCTTCTGGACGTGGGTGTGGAGACATCTCCCCGTGATCTTATTACAGGGCTCCTCGAACCAGCATCCCTGGCAGGTCTGTAGAAGAGACACAACGCTGCCTCAGAGTCACAAACTTCTATCTGACATCTGGGCCGTTTGGGGTAACCATACAAGACCATGAGGTCAGAAAGCAAGGGTTCTAACCGCTCTATCAAAATCGTAAGATTAATTATAATTTTTCCGAGTCGTTATCAAAACGTTCAAAGAATTGGTTTGTAAAAGCTTGACAAGTTGGGAATTTCAATTTTTTTTAACGACAAATCTCTCAAAACTAGGTACTGAGCAGATAGAATTTTGTAGTTTCGGGGTATCTACCTGATGTACCAGAAGGTAACAGGTTCGATTCCCGGCCCCCGTATCTTAAAGCAAGGTACTTTACGGGTTCGTTTTGTTTTAGTAAGCGTTTTTGGCGGCATTTGCAACACAATTAGGATTATATAAGTGCCGAAGATTAGAAAAATTACGAGAGAGTAACAAACAAAAACATGGAGGGAGGAGAGTTAGGAAGTTTGCTAAGAAAGGAGGGGGAGATAAGGACGATAGGGGGTGGGGTGGTCGGAATTGAACATAAAAAAGGTTCATGAAGGAAAAAAGGGAGATGAGTGTGTGTGTGTGTGTGTGTGTGTGTGTGTGTGTGTGTGTGTGTGTGTGTGTGTGAAAGGAAAACTAAGGCGGTGGAGGGGGGCATTACGGCAAGGATGACGCTCTGTGGTCTTCCTTCTGAACGTTCGCCCAGTAATGTGACAGCACCAGGGGCTGTCACAGACGATTGTGTGCTCAGCTTAGAGATAGTACAAGTTTATGAGGATTCGCTTACCATGGGGTCAATGCCACACGGCTCTCTAGCAAACAATTCATGGGGCTACGGATCTGATTAATGCCCACAGAATAAACACGGACTGGATTGAAACTCCAGCGCTTGAGATCTGAAAACCCCGCCTATATAGACTGAAGATCGAGTTCTTTAACACGGTACACTGTGTCTAGAAGTGCATGTGTTCATTTTTTTTTTACTTTCTTTTTCTCCTCTGAAATCAGAGCGACAAATAGGTGTATCTGAAGACTTGCTTATGGGGCCCCTGAATGTCCATTCTTCATGGGAGGAGAGCGAACTGAGTTAGGACAGGAGACGTTTGTATTACACGCTCTCTTTATATATATTTTTTTAAAAATGTAGTTCCAATAACTTCAGAGCCCTTGTAATGATGGAAAAACACCACCACCATCATCACTAGTAATAATATCTATCATCATCATCATCATCACCATCATCATCATCATCATCATCATCATCATCATCATCATCATCATTACCATCACCATCATCATTACCATCACCATCATCATCATCATCCTCATCATCATCATCATCATCATCATCATCATCATTGCATCTATAGAGCAATCACCATTGTTTTGCATGTGGCTTTACAACAATTTAATTTCATTTTTATATTTAAAAAACTGAAATACATGTAACTGACTGGTGTGTAGGGCCTGAACCTAGAAAAGAAGCATTGATTTGTCTGTTAGGCCGCCATTAAGATAAGGAGCTGTGTGTCTGTTTGTGTCTGTCTGTCTGTCTGTCTGTCTGTCTTCTGTCTGTCTGTCTGTCTGTCTGTCACGGAGATGGCCCATACTCGGGCTCCAAAGCGAGCAGCTGGGTTTTTTTAGTGTGTTTTGTTTGTTCGATTTGTTTTTATCTTTTGGTTTTCTTTTTTTTTGTCCCGTGTCCTCTGATTTGGCATCGGATTTTGTTACATTTGGAATAAAATGTGTAAATGATTTAGTCATTGTTAGATTGCTTATGAAAAAAAAAGAAAGGTTGCTTGAACATTAATGGATTTTTTAAATTGTCTCCTTTGAGCATTACACTAATGATGATGATGATGATGATGATGATGATGATGATGATGATGATGATGATGAT